AAAAGTATTAAGACCCTCCGCTCGGATCGAGGAGGTGAATACTTAAGCCTGGAGTTCGATGACTATCTGAAAGAGCATGGGATCTTATCCCAACTCACTCCTCCAGGGACACCTCAGTTAAATGGAGTGTCTGAGAGGAGAAATCGGACTTTGCTAGACATGGTCCGGAGCATGATTAGTCTGACAACATTGCCAGAATCATTTTGGGGATATGCATTGAAAACAGCAGCACACACACTCAACAGAGTTCCATTTAAAGCTGTCGAGAGCACACCATACGAACTATGGCGTGGGAGAAAACCGAGTTTCTCGTACTTTAAGATTTGGGGCTGTGAAGCTTATGTAAAACGTCCCATGACGTCTAGTAAGTTGGAGCCTAAATCTGATAAAGTAATTTTTGTGGGATACCCCAAGGAAACTAGAGGGTATGAGTTGTATCATCCATCCGATAACAAAATTTTTGTTGCTCGGAATGGAACCTTCCTTGAGAAGGAGTTTCTTTCTGCTATCACTAGTGGGAGAAAGGTAGACCTCGAAAAATTCGAGAACCACAAGAAGAAGTCCCGATAGTGTTGGAACCTGAGCAAAGAGATCAAGCAATTGAACCTCAAATTGCTCAAGATATACCGCGTAGGTCAGACCGGATACGTAATCCTCCGGTCAGATATGGATTTCTCATGTCTGATGAAGGTGACGTCTTGTTGGTAGATCAAGGCGAACCAGAGACCTACCTCGAGGCAATTACATGCCCCGAATCCGATCTGTGGCTCGAAGCCATGAAATCTGAAATGGAGTCTATGTACACAAACCAAGTCTGGACCTTGGTTGATGCGCCCTTAGGGGTAAACCCATTGGATGCAAGTGGGTCTTCAAAAAGAAGACAGATGTAGACGGGAAGGTTCATACCTTCAAAGCTAGATTGGTAGCAAAAGGTTATAGACAAATCCACGGAATTGACTATGATGAAACCTTTTCTCCAGTTGTTATGCTGAAATCCATTCGGATAATGCTTGCGATTGCAGCCTATTACGATTATGAAATTTGGCAGATGGACGTCAAGATGGCTTTCCTTAACGGGAACCTCAAAGAGGATGTTTTTATGACACAGCCTGACGGTTTTCAAATTGCTGGTCAGTCTGCCAAAGTTTGTAAGCTGCAACGTTCAATCTACGGATTGAAACAAGCATCTCGGAGTTGGTACATACGTTTCGACGAAACCATTTCCAGTTTTTGTTTCAAGAAGAACTCTGACGAATCTTGTGTATACATGAAGGTCAGTGGGAGTGTAATAGTATTCCTAATATTATATGTCGATGACATATTGTTAATGGGTAATGATATTCCCGCTCTCACTTCTGTAAAGACGTGGTTGAGCGAGAACTTCTCCATGAAAGACTTAGGGGATGCTAGTTATGTCCTTGGCATAAGAATCTACCGAGATAGATCAAGAAAGTTAATAGGTCTAAATCAAAGTACATATATAGATAAAATCCTTGATCGATTTAGCATGTCTAACTCAAAGAAAGGATCTTTACCTATGACACCTGGCACGGTTCTTTCCAAGAGCCAGAGTCCTTCTACTCCCGAGCAAAAGGA